AAAATCTATTGGCTAAAACGCCATAAATAAAAATCTATTGGCTAAAACGCCATTTTAAATTATGTACTGTATCCAGCTATAGATAATTCATACTGGGGAAGCTAAAACTTGACCTAAATGCAGATACCAATGTTTGAATTAAAATGTTAGTCACACAGTTGCCTATCAGCTTTTTTAGAACTAATAAAAAGTCATACAATAGTTAGTGGGTTAGTAAACGACACAGAATTCTTTCTCTATCAGCCAGGATATTTAAAAACGGGGAGAGGTGGAATGATGAATTACACAAGTTTTTTTTTTCCAGTAAAACCCAACCGGAAAAGAACTTTCTCTTGGATCAGCTGATGGCTGTGCTGCCCAGACATCTGAGAGTTGCATTCTTGGTACATACGAGCAGCAAGGGCTGGGGAAACTTGCTATACATTAAATCACAGCACTGAAGTACAACAGGGCATCTGCCTCTAATTCAGTAATTTTCTTGACAGTTAAATTTGATATTCCCTAAAGGGAAAAATGTAATTAGTGATAAGTGACAGGCTTGAATAACTGGTGCTTCTAAAAATATTTTCAGCAATGAACAATGGTTATTTCACCCTCACGGCTTTCTTATATTCTTCCCTTGGCAACAATTAAGACTGATATCACCTACTTGGGAGTAAAGTCCAGTAAATTCAGGGAGATTTGTATTTTACTGGACAGAACCTTTTGAATTAGCATGTTAAGACTGTTACTTACTGCAACTCATCCCCTGCAATCCCTTATTCTCCTCATATTTATCCAAATCCTCTTTTTTCAGACATTGCGTAAATCAAAACAAGACTTTCCCCCATTTTCAAATGGTTCTTAAGAAAAAATATTTATGCTCATGCTGCTGTTTGAATTTCTATAACCACTTTGCTGATCTGTACACTTTTCAGCCTGAAGACCTTATAATGAACATGAGTAGTCTACAGACTAAGGTGGAGTTGACACAGCATTCCACTGTTTGTTTTAAATATAGTTTGCTGAACAAGCTATAGTACTTAGGTTCAATCCATAATTAAGCCAGAAACCATGGTTTACAAGCCACAATGACTGGTATCATAAATCATGCTAATTCTAAATTAATCAAAGTACATAATGACTTAGATTGAGTGATGTCTGTGGAGGCTAGCCAAAAAGCCTCTCATCTCCATCCTTAGGACATTA